GAACTTCAATATTTATTTTCTAGTTATCGGTGGACACAACATCCTTGTTTGTACGTGGTGCTGAGGATCGAACCCGGGCCGCACGCATGCCAGGCTAGCGCGCTACCGCTTGAGCCACATCCCCAGCCCCAGCCTCAGCAATTTAATGAGTCATTTAGCAACTTGGCAAGTCCCTGTCTTTATTTATTTATTTATTTTTAAATTTTTAAAATTTTTTAGTTGTAGTTGGACACAATCCCTTTATTTTATTTATTTATTTTTGTGTGGTGCTGAGGATCGAACCCAGGGCCTTGCACATGCTAGGTGAGCGCTCCGCCGCTGAGCCACAACTCCAGCCCCAAGACCCTATCTTTAAATAAAATATTTTAAAAAGTACTGGAGATGTGGCTCAGTGGTTAAGCACCCCTGAGTTAAAAAATAAATAAATAAAGAAAAATTAGTTCAAAATAACTCAAGCTATTTAAAAATGTTTTTAAGCTGGGTATGGTGGTGCATGCCTATAACCTCAGCTTTTCAGGAGGCTGAGGCAGGAGGATCCTGGTCCAGGCAGGAGGAGCCTGATCCAGGCAGTTTAGTGAGATCTCATCTCAAAATTGAAAATAAAAATAAAAATTAAAAGGGTTGGGGATGTAGTTTAGTGGTAGAGCACACCAGGGTTTGATCCCCAGTACTGAAAAAAAAAGTTTTTAAAATACATGTGGATTTAGAGTTTCACCCTGGGGTTTCTTGTAGCTAGAGAGGGAGAGAGAACCACCCTTGCTTGTATCTTTGGCTGTGTTTCACTGGTGAGAGGGAAATAAATTATACTGGACTTCACTGGCAATCTGAGGGCAAGCTATTCTGTTTTGAATTCATGAAGCAACTCTATGAAAAGCCAATGTTTGATCTAGTAAACTGTGAGAATTTTCATTTCAACTTAAGTACCCACCCCTGTAAAGTGTTTTACTTTAACTGTGAAATTTTAAGTATGGAAATGAACATACCTTGTTCATTCTCTCCCACTTATTTACTGGTGCATTCCTCACCCTGACTAAGGGGTCTCTTCTTCAGGCATCACCTGGAGGAAGCCAGGGGCCAAGGAAACGGCGCTTCTTCAATCAGACATGGCTCCAATGTTGAGGAGGTCAGAGAAAAGTAGAGAAGGCAGAGTGGTTGAGAGCCAAGCAGCAAGGGTTGGTAAGCAGAGTCATAATCCTAGCAATCTGTGAAGTCTAAGCAAGGGACAGAATGGAGGGCAGCATAAGCCAACTCCTCTTTGGAGAGAAACAGAGGCAGAAAAGATACCTGGCCTCCACTTTCCTCTGCTGTCAGCCTGGGGTGAAGTATAAAGGAGGTGATCACCACATCAAGTTCGTCATTATCCCTAATGGGGAATTAAGCTTTGTATCTTCCAAAGGGTTCCTTACATAGGTCCATAAATATTTGGTTTGGTTTCTTCAGGAACCTAACAGTCCAGGAATTGTAATTAGTGAGAGAAAGGAGTTGAGGAAGGAGTCCATGCTTGTAGAGGACCTATTCTACACATTCAGTAGCTCAACAATGTCTCATTAAACACCACAAGATTAGATTGTTCTACTTATTTTGTGAATGAAGAAACAGAGGCTCAAAGAATATAAATAACCAAGTCAAAGTTACTCAATTAGTTGATAATCTTACCTCTGATCATAAATCAGTGTGTCTGGATTTTAAGCCAGGCCCCACTGCTAACTGTCCCCGATACCCTGGGCAGGTCAACACAACTCAACACACCATTTAGTAAACACCTAAGCGAAAAGCAATGTGAGAAACAAAAAGATTGTATCTTTCAATAGAGGGGACAAACAGAGAGAAAATTAAATGTGATGGAGGGACCCTTGTGCAAAGTGCTTGCTTTTCAAACAGGCTCATCTGTACAATGAGCAGGATGAACTCATGCAGGGGTTAGCAAACTTTTTCTGTAAAGGACTAGACAGTAAATACGTTAGGCTTTGCAGGCCATACAGTCTTTGTTACAACTACATCCCTGCAGTATAGCAGCTACAGACCATAAACAATTGGGAATGGCCCCATGGTGTTTTCTAAGAGCAAGGCACTTGCAGATATTTTCTCACCTGGACAACTTGGAGACATACAATCAGCAGAGTATGATTTATTTTCTTAAAATATTTTTTTTTAGTTGAGACAGATACAATACCTTTATTTATTTGTTTACTTATTTTTATGTGGTTTTTGGGGATCGAACCCAGTGCCTTATGCGTGCTAGGCAAGTGCTCTACCACTGAGCCACAACCCCAGCCCAAATGATTTATTTTCTCACTGAATATTCACCCAATAGATACCTGTTGAGTTTCTGAGCTGGAGTACCTTTTACCTTACTTTTTGTTCTGCCCTGAGTATCCAGAATCAGAATAAAGATTTTCTTTTTTCCTACATATGAATATTTCCAGAAATAAACAAATGTTTTAGTATTGATCATAGATATGTAGTATTTTAGAGTTTTTCCTTTGATAATGTCTGAAAAAAATTCAGTGCTAAGAATATTTCAGACATCACTGTTAAATTGACATATATTAGTTGGAGGATGCTTTCTGTGACCCCAATAAGGAAATGGTCATTGTTAGTATATTTATCAACATAGCTCTCTTTAAAGCTTTATTCCTGTTTTGAAGCTCTTGATGTATTTGTTCTTGCCCCAAATGATAAATCTCTGATCTGCCTTGACTGTGCACATGCAGAGTCATAGAAAGTCAGAAGACAGCAAAGTCAGGTGCCAGACTAACTGAAAACCTTACTGGTATTTGAAGGACGATGGGTTCTTCTTTATATGTGGAGTCAGAAGATTAGTTAGGAAGGGCAAGCCATCTGAAGGAAGGTAGTCCCATAGCAAAAAGGGATTCAAGCCAGGGGCTGGGATTATGGCTCAATGGTAGAGTACT